TCCTCTTCTTGCTGCAAGGAACCAGCCCCATGGGTCCTCTTGGGCCAAGAATTGCATCTGGACAATTCTTGGTTTTTGAGGTGGTCTTTGTTGCCAGTTAAGACTCCAAAGTAGGCCTCTATAAGGCTTCTGTGGCCTCAAAGCAGAGGGTGCAGATGGAGGCCTGGCTGAGCTCTCTGCTGCCAACTGCTCATCCTTGCTGTAGCTGCAGCCACTTGTGACAAACCTTGTTTCCTTACAAATTCCAGCATGTGACTTTGGTGCCCTGTTGTTACTTGTGAAAAACTATTCTTCTACTGTCTTTGATGTAGTCAAAAACAAAAAAAAAAAAAAACAAAAAAACAAAAACAAAAACAAAAAAAAAAAATCCCAACCATGTAGTTTATGTAAAAATATCTGATTCACAAAGAAGCCAACTGTATGTCTTGTGTTGGGACAGTTCATAATGTAGTTCCTAGACCACTTTTGCAAATTGTTCTTGTCACCAGATGTGTTCAGACATTGCTGTGCAGTTGTGGGGGAGGGTGGGGGGGAGGTGATGGGGGAGATACTTTTCAGTCTTTTGTTTATCTTCCCCAAGAGGGAACAGTCTGGCCAACTTGCTCCAGTAATGCAATAAAAACATTGCAATAAAGCACCTTTTGTCCTCATGCTATGAAAGGGTGGCCTAGGGGTGGGAGGCAAGCAGAGGATTAGGGTGTCGAAAGCCCTGAAACTCCCAAATCTTCTCTGTCATGAGCACCAAAAGATTGGTCCTGGGGCTGAACTGGGGCCACGAAAGGCGCTCCTCCTCCCCTGAACAAGAAGAGGAAGTTGCCCCTAACAGGCATGATGCCAACATCTCCATCCAGCACAGGACACCGGGACACTCAGAAACCAACCCCGAGAAAGTTAAATCTGAGAGCTGTTTCCTTCTCGCCCCATTCCTAACTACTAAAAAGTCCAGCTTACAGATTCTCATCACACCTTTCTACCCGGAAATAAAAGTGTTTCGAGAGTCTATTCTGGGGGTAAATGTTTGTTGCCCAAGGCCCTTGTCACCCTCCTGCCACAGCACTTTGTTAAGGTTTCTCTATGTTAGTGACATAATTAACAAAATGTGACCACCTCTTTGCAAAGGACATTGCAGTTTTCATGCAGTCTCTCAGGCCCCACCCAGGTGTGTAGTGAATTACAAATCAGATTGGGTAGTGGGTAGTCCATTGCCCTAAATGATCTTGCCTATGCCCTTTCTCCCCATATGCTAGGAACTGATAGAGGATCTTCCCAGATCCTGAGTTGTTCCCACTCTCTGTATAGGACACTCAAATTACTGTCTCCAGCCTAGTCCTGTCTTCTGAACTTCACCTGCTGTCTGGATATCTCCACTGGGGCCTTGAGTGTCCCACAGGGACTGCAAACTTTGTTTCCAGAGAAAACCTATGCTTGGCTATGAATTCCCTTTCCTACCACCAAACCTAAAACCTATGTCCACATGACTGCTCTGCCTCTCACCTGTTAAATTACAAAAGCTGGCCCTCCTCCAACTAAAAGCTAACCTTTCCACATGTATTTTTGTATCTATTTTCTCCCTCCTCCTCAGGAATCCCCCATGATCAGTTATCAATTCTTTCACTGTTGTTTTCTCTCGACTGGGTCATCTGTTGACATTGAAACATGGTTGGGTGTGTCTCAGTCCACTTCCTGACTTCTACTGAATCCTACATCCCTTCATCTCTTTGCCCCCCTTCAAAGCCAAACTTTTTTATAAAAACTGTCTAAATCTGTCTTTATTTCCTCTCCTCCACCATCTCAGTTCAGGTTCCATCACCAGCTGAAGCTGCTTTCCTTGAGGTCTTCAATAACCATCATCATTGACTACTTGCCATGAAAAACTCTCCCCTGGACTCCATGACGACTCAGCATCTGGTTTTCCTCCTACATCTCTGTTCCTTTTAATTCTTCAGACTCCTCTGGCTGCCTTCTCACTGATGTCTTTTTCCTTGGCAGTTTTATCCACGTCCATGATTTCATCTACCATCTTTAGGCCAATTAAATCTTTGTTTCTCCTGCTCAGTCCTCTATTGGGAGGCACCTCACAGCATACCACATGCAGGGTCACCACTTAGCCCAGGTTCTCTTCTACTGTTTCACATTTCGGGGTGGAAATATAAAATTCATCTGGTTATGTAAGCCAGAAATGCAGCAGTCATCCACAAGGCCTTCCTGTTTCTTGTCTACACAAAACATCACCAACCCATATCAGTTTTACTTTCTAAATGTCAAAGACTTCACTTCTCCCCAACTACATTGCTTCACTCTAACCTTAATACTGCAAAGGCCTCCCTTCTTCCATCCTTGCCCCCCTCAGATATATTCTCATAACAACCAGAGTTAGCTTTTCTTTCTTTTAAAAAAATTTTCTTTAATGTTTACTTTTGACAGAGAGAGAGAGAGACAGAGTGCAAATCGGGGGGGGGGTGGGCAGAGAGAGAGGGAGAATCTGAAGCAGGCTCCAGGTTCCAAGCTGTCAGCACAGAGCCCAATGCAGAGCTTTAACTCACGAACCATGAGATCATGACCTGAGCCAAAGTCCGAAGCTTAACTGAGCCACCTAGGGGCCATCCCCCCCATCCCCCCCCGCCCCCGCCTTTTTAATGTTTCAGAGTTAGCTTTTCAAAATACAAATCTGAACCTGTGTAAAACCATTAATTTTCTTTTTTTTTTTTAAGTTTTTTTTTTTTTAACGTTTATTTATTATTTTTGGGACAGAGAGAGACAGAGCATGAACGGGGGAGGGGCAGAGAGAGGGAGACACAGAATCGGAAACAGGCTCCAGGCTCCGAGCCATCAGCCCAGAGCCCGACACGGGGCTCGAACTCACGGACCGTGAGATCGTGACCTGGCTGAAGTCGGACGCTTAACCGACTGCGCCACCCAGGCACCCAAACCATTAATTTTCAATTGCTCTAAGGGTAAACCACAGAATTCCTAAAATGGTCTGGTTTCTCCCACGTTCAGGATCTCATCCCCCACTTCAGTTATTCTTCCCTGACCCCTTCCCTTCAGATAGGCCCAATGTCTTGGGTTTTCTTCCTTCTGCAACTATTCTTTATACAATCCCCATCTATTCCTATGGCTTTACCAACTATTTGCTGGTAGTTGTCAAATCTGTGTCCAGCTACTACACTTTCCATCAAGGTTTTCCTAGTATTTCAGACCACCATAATGGATCACTACATCATTTTCTCTCTGGTCTGCTTATTCCACTAGAGCCTTCCTTATATACTGAAGCCAGTGATATTCTAAAACATAAATGTGATTATAACACTTTTGTGCAGTTGTCTTTCAGAAACCCCTCCCCTCAGGCTAATCTAGTGATGTTTCTCAAAGAGAACACCACTGGCACTTGAGACAGCTGCCTTGTGCATTACAGGATGCTTAGCATCTCTGTGCCTACTCTTTCCTCAATCACCCCCCACTTCTAACCTAAGAGAGGTAGTTCCTCCCTCCCACAAACTGTTGCAAGATGTGCTTGCCCCCACCTCCTTCACCTGTGGTATTACGGTGCTTCTAACCAGATCCTGATCTACATGGGAGGCTCCCCCAGGCAACCAGTTACCTGTGTTCTCAGTGTCCAGTACAGGCTGGCTGAGGGTCTGCTGCCAATGAATGACTGAAGGAAAGAGGAAGTGAGTTCAAGAAGGGACTGAAGGCTGAGGGGCCAGACATCTACTTGTGGACTCTGGCGCCACAGGCAGGGTACGCCCTCTGGCGGCCACAGCCTTCTCCATGCAAGGTGACAATGAGTTGAAGGGTGCAGGAGGCACCCAGCCAGTGGCCCTGAGGCATTTTCCTGTCTCCAGTCCTCTGGACGCCTCTCCTTCCAACCTGGGCATTGGATTATGGGAGAATTAGTGCAAGGCCACAGTTTGAAAAGTCCTCCATCACCATGGAGGTACTCCACCACAGCCTTACTTTCTGCTCCTGTGATGCCATCTCCTGACTCCTCCAACACAATGGCCCCATAGATGTCCTCTCCCCTCCCACACCACCTGCTCACCCACCCGCCAATGCAGTCCCATTCACTGGGGGCCATCCACCTTGGTAACGTCTACTTCTGTTGCTAAGGCCCATCTGACAAAAGCCCAGGAAGGGCTTACTGGCTACAGACATTAAGGCATCTCTGTATTTTCACCTCAAATGGGCTTTCAGTGTTTTAACAAGTCATTTCTCCCTTCATTTCAAAACTCTTCCCTCTCTTGGATTTTAGGATTCTCTTCTTGCTGCTGTTTCTAAGTCCTCTTTATTTGCCTTAAATGCTAGTGTTCCTCAATGTATCACTATTGATACATTGATGGCTCTCAAATTTCTATCTTCAATCCAGATTTTCCTACTGAGTTCCAGGCCCATGCATCCAGTTACCTTCTGAATGTCCCTCAAGTACCTCAAATATATCCCACGTTTAACTCTTCACCTCCTTCTACCTCATCGTTTGGCCATGAAACACTCCAAGTTAGGAGATAAATATGGGTTGTGGAGTCAGGAAAGACCTAGGTTCTAATTGTAATTGTGCCCAAGCTATGTTAATATCTGAAAACCCAAGTTCCCTCCTCTATAAAGCCAGAATATTAGTTGCTAAGGGGTCTTCTATAACTCCCAATCACTTACAGAAAGTCTAAGCTCTTGGAAGATCATTAAATATGGCCCTTGCCAAACTCACTAGACCCATTTCCACTTTGTTTTCTGTTTCTTGAATATACCAAGTATATGGTAAGTGCTGTACTTTTTGCTTGGATACTCAGACTAATGCCGGGGCCCGGCCCCAGTCTTCTAACCCAGCAAACTACTATCATCTGTCCTGGAGGTTGGAGCTCAGACGTCGCAGTCTCTGAGAAGCCACATTGGGCTTAGGCAATCCTCCCCTGACAGGGGAAAAGTGTGTTATTCACCGCTCTATTCTCAGCAGTAACAAAGACCTTGAGTTACATTTGTGTTGACTGAAAGAAACAAGACAAAGATGGTTTCCAAGAGCATGTATTACACAGATCTGAGTGCAAGAAATGGCAAACGACTGTTAGGTTTGCTTTAAAAGCTCATCAGGCACCAATGCCAAGTCCTGATGCTTTTGAGGGCCTGCTGGGTCTCGGCCTCTCCGGAGCAGGCTGGGCCCAGGCTCCTGGGTGAGAGGGCAGCTTCTGCGTGGAATGTCCTGCTTCCTATCACCTGAGGCATCAGGCACTTTGGTGATGCCCAGGGCTGGCTCCTCTTTCTCTATTTGTGCACATTCGGGCTCCCACAGCCAGGTTTGGCGGGGAAACTCACAAGGTGGATGGACCGGCCCAGGGGCACCAGGTGGCCATGACTTCACCTCCTGTCTGGGAGACAGGTTCTCTGAGTGGACTGGAGTTATGGTTTCCAAATCCTGGGAGCTGGCCATCCCACCTTCCATTGTTGCCTTTCTGCTTGGGGATGCCCTGTCTGGACCCTCAATAAGAAATTTCCAGGCCCATGGGCCTGGCTCTCCAGAGGTCGAGGCGACAGCAGAGGGACTGGTAGGGAGAAGTCCTGAAGAGCTAGGACAAAGTGCTGTTAGTGCCTGGGTATGGAAGTGCTGGGCCTTCCAGCAGCCTTCAGGAGGGATAGGGTCTGTGGGTCCAGCCTTACCTAGGCTGGGGGCCGGTGATGAGGAGATGGCAGCCTCCTCAAAGGCTTGTGGGATCCCAAGCCTCCTCTGGGGGACACTAGGGCCTTCCATTCCGGGATCCTTCAGTGTGATCTCTGTCAACAGGCCTGGGGCCGCTGAGCCCTGGCTCTTGGGGTCCCTAGACAAGAAGGCATCCTCTTCCTCACCCTCTCCTGCTCCTCTGAGGGGTGGGTCCCGGCCCACTTCTGGGCTTGGTGCCAAGCTCGGTTCCTGTACACCTTGGCTGTTCTCCGGCCCCTCCTCGGCGTCATCCTCTGAAGAGTCAACCTCACGGATGGCTTCCTGCTTCTGCAGCGACTCCCGCCGTTCAGCCCGGTCCTGTCGGAGAGCGCCTAGGGCCCATGAGGGAGAAGGCTGCAGCACCCCCTTCCCTGGCAGTGACCCTTTCCCAGACAGCACACTCCTGGTCCCAACCACCTCTAGAGGGCTGACTTCCCTGGGCGGCAGTTCCTTCTTTAGCTCGGGGTGGGGCAGGTCAAGGCTATGCTTCCGAGAAGTGGCTAGCTTCTTCTCGGAAGCAGCAAGCGCAGCTGCCAGTTTCTCAGCTGACTGTACCCTCTTAAGTAGTGGTGAGCGGGGCGGCTCTGCACTCTTGGGTCGTGAGAGCTGCCTGCCCAGAGGAGGCGACAAGTGAAGCTTGGTGGGGAAGGCCTGGGCTCCATGTCCAGAAAGGGGTGATGGGGAGCGCTGGGGTGAAGCTGCTGGCGGTGGGGAAGGGGTATGGGCCAGCGGTGACAGAGGGATGCTGCCGGCCGACTTGCGCCGCGGAGAGCGGTACTGGCGCTGGAGCTTGGGTGCCAGGCCGTGCAGGGAGCTGGGTCGTGTGTGCCCAGAGCCGGCTGGAGAACTGGGCACGCTGGAGCTGGGGGAGCTGCTCTGTGATGAATTTCCTCCCACTTTGCACACACAGACAGACACACAAAGGCAGAACAATGTTAGTTGATAGAAGTGACTGAGGGGCAAGGCAGGGCTAGCCCTAGAATGTCCCAGGATCATCAAGGTGACCCTAGCCAGTGAACCAGAGCCCAGGCTACAGAAATAAAGTCACTCTCCACCCCTGTCACCTCCTCACTAGGACTGCTGAGTCTTTCAGGGGGTAGGGTGAAGGAGTTTCAGAGTGGGGCCGCAGAGAAGCACAGAGGGCCTATAGGCTCTTTCCTACCTCCCAGGGGCTGTCTCTGTGATGTGCAGGGAGCACTTCATACCTGAATGCAGAGCATCAGGGGTCACCCGGTAGCCCTGAGTGGGAGATCGGGGGGAAAGGCTGTGGCTGTGTGTAGGAGAGCCTGGCCCACTCTCCCCTGATGATAAGGAGCGGTTAAGGGAGGAAAGGCTACGGCTGGTGTGCAACAGGGATGCCTGCTTGGTGATCTTCCGGAACAGGGAGCTCCTTTTTTTGCTGCAGAGACAAGAGTCAAGGGCTGTGTGAGTTGGTGCACGAGGCATAGCATATACTGGGCCCAATAGCCAGGGCTCCGAGCACACACAAGCACCCAGGTGGCTCAGTCATGCTCACCTTTCTTGCCCATCTTTGCCCCGGCTCCGCTTACTCCTTCGGGCCATCTTGGCCTTATAGCTGCCCTTCCGAGCTGGCCCCACTTTAATGGATGTGTTCTCCAAGGGCGTTGTTGAAATAGACACCTTGTTTCCACTCTGGGGAACAGAGCGTGAACCCAGGCTAAGGCAGGGAACATATTTTTGCTCCTACCCTCACCCTCAGGCATGGCTACCCCACAGCTCTAGCTTTTGTCCCTACATTGACAGGTGTGAACCATAGGCCTGTCTTCCCACTTCACAGATTAGGAAATGGCTCCAACTGGAGCCTGGACAGTTTAGGGTTGGGAAAGTGGAGAAGAGGCTCATTTGTCTTGTTCTTCAGTCCTATCCATGGCTCAGAAGGATCCCTGGGCCTTGGTCAGTGAGAACGCTGCTTTCCAGCAAAAGCCCACTGCTATGGGTGCGTCTGTCCTCAGTGCCATGGGTGTGTGCACCCAACTCTCCCAATTCCCCGTAGTAAGTCATAGACTTATAAGGCAGGGTCACTGGGGGACCGACCACGTCAGGTAGCATACCCAGCACTAACCTTCAGAATCAGCTCCACCACTTCTGTGTGCACCAGTCCATGCACAGGCTCCCCGTTGACATGAGTGATGAGGTCACCCTGACGAAGCCCTGCCTCACTAGCTGGACCTCCATCCTCCACGTGCTGCCCCAGGGAGATAACAGTCCTCAGCCTGGAGCCTGAGTGTAAAGTGTGGGGCCTGGTTCTGCTGTTCCCCACCCCCACTTTATACCCTGAGGATAGTTTAGGCAGGGAAAGAAGCAGGGACAGACAGGCCCTGATAGGGGGAAGGCAGAACAATGACAAAACTGGGAGACAACAGGTCTGGATGGCCAGACATACCCACACCATGTGGTGCACAGTGTAGACGTCTGAGTCACCCATGTAGACACGGATGGCGCGCAAGGTGAAGCCATACTTCTTGCCAGCTCGGTGGATGACGATGGGAGGCCTCGAGCTGCTGAGGGCTGGCAAAAAGTCCCTGCTTGGAGAAGAGTCCCTGGATGATGGGTTGGATGACTGGGAATGTGGGGACATGGGGCTGGCCAATGGAGAGCAGGTGTGTTCTGGAGAAGGAAAGACAGGACTGAGCAGGTCAGAGGACCCTGGCCTGGCCATACTTCCAGCCCAGCTCCATCTAGGCTAGGCTGCTGATGCCTCACAGCTATAGTCACAGGCAGAGACTAAGCCCAGGGATGTCTTCACCACAGACTCAAGAGCAGCAAAGCCCCTCACATGCCCAAACCACCCCCCTTGGCCCAGGAGGTGATGGCAGCTAGCACTTACTGAATACATACTTGTATCCATCAGGGGCCATATACGCTCTCTGTACGTATTCATACGTCCCAATTACCCTACGAGCTACCACTAGTAAGTTCTACGATTTTTGATGAGGAACTTGAAACTCAGAGAGGTTAAGCAACTTTGTCAAGGTCAGGAGCCAGGGTCTGAATGTAAGCTCTCTGCCTCAGAGCCTGCACTCATTACATAGTGCCATCTCGCCTTGTGGCATATGCACACACAACCTGACACCAATGCACACTTTTAGAGACCTCTCATCTCCTAACAAGGAGGCAGCAGTGACACACAGTCTCTCAGATACCTGCCATGTGCAGACCCTGCCAAAGGCCCACAGAGATTCTAGGGCCCTTCCTGTGAGTTTTATCCTAGTTCCCTGGGGGGGCTTACCTGTAGGAATGAGGAGGGACAGGGTTGTGGCTGAGGCGGACTTGATCACTTTGTTGATGGGGCGAGTGGTGCGCTTTTCTGCTGAGTCCCCGGAGAGCAGTCGGTGGCGGGCCCTGCGTACCGCCAGGTCACTGATGGCCTTGGCTGTGGCTCCCTCAGTCAGCTGTGGGGTCCCACGGCCTCCTCGAGTCTCCAGAGCTGTGGGCCCAAGTGAGCACTGAAACCTGCAATGCAGTGGAGCCTCACCCCCCTGCCTGCCTGCAGCGTCCTCCATTCCAGGCCTCCTGGCCACCTGCTGGGCCACACCTGGACTGGAGCTGCAGCTCTGGCCAACAGGCTCCTCATCTAGCTTCAGTCGCCGCTCTACTGGCCGTTCAGGGACAGGCCCAGATACCCCTTCTCCAGATGGGGGTGTCAGAAGCCATGTACCCTCCAGCTGCTGCCTCCTGGGGGTGCTGCTAGCCTCCTCAGGGCCCTCAGGGAAGTGAGGAGCATCCAGGAGACCTGAGCAGCGGCGTCGCACTGTCAGTGGAGGGCTTGAGTCGCTCTCCGTGTGGGATGACTCTGACACTGACAGCCTCTTCCGCAATCTGTGAGACACAAGGCCCAGGGTGAGACAGGCAGGTGGTCTCCTTCCTCCAGCTCAGGCTTCCTGAGGGGCTCACAAGAGTTGTAAGTCATAGAACTTTTTTCCTCTGACATTCCCTTCAGCAGCCATCCCTGGGATACCCCCTCACTGCCACCAGCACTGCCCCCCAGCATCTGAATCTCGCCCATGATCTGTAACAACTAATGGATGGCTATGCTGCCCACCCTAGGTGGATTCTGGGTGCTCACATCTCAGGGGAGCCAATCACCCAGCTCCGGTCTCGGCCCTTCAGCCCTGCCAGGCCATCAGAGCGGTCGTCCTTCTCCTCACTCAGGCTGCGCTTGGTGGGGGGTGGTGCCTGGCGCTCCTCAAGCAGGGACAGCCGCTCCATGCTACTGTACACCTGTGGGCACAGAGTCTGTGCCAGGGACAGGCCCCAACACCCACACCTCCCAAAAGTATCCTTGGCACCTGAAACCCAGGAATTGGAACCAGTTTTCCCCTTCCCTCCTCCATACCAGATGAACAATTCGAGGAAGCGGCTATTCCACTGGCCTGACTGGGCCTCACCCCTGGCATCTCTGACGTCAGGGCCTGGAGTGGTTCTTGCGATATCTGTCATATGCAGGCCGGGCCCCTTCTTCCTCTTTTCCTAGGGGTAGCCCCGTCACATGCTCCCCCCAACCTGCCCCAGGCATATTCCTTGACAGGTCCTCTTCTCCCAGTCCGCCCCAGCCTGGGCCTGCTCCATCGTACCTTGCTGAACCTTGGAGAGCACGATGAGAACTGGCGGATCTCCAGGCAGCCATCCTCACTCACTTCTTCCTCATCCTCTGAGTCCACGTGGTGGTAGCGCTCAGAGCGGGCTGGGTCAGACACACAGGACAGTTCCCTTTAGAGGCCCTGGGTGGTGCCTCCTTTTGACCTTTATCAGACCTCAGAGGGCTGGAGAAGTGACTCCCAGTACCAAGTGGAGGGTGCACAGGTGTTTCTGGGCAAACAGGTAGGATCCCCACTTCTCCCCATCCCACCAGTGGCCTTACTGTCAAAGTAGCTGGTATCATCCTCTGACTCCAGTTGAGGAATAAATTCAGCCTTCTGGCGAAGAAGTCCTGTCCAGTCCAGACCAGTAAAGAACGGATGCTGCTTCACCTCAGAAGCACTGCCTGTGGACAGGGAGGGTGTGGGCGAGGCGCAGGATGAGCTGTGTGGAGTCCAGGCCAGCAAGTCCAGTGAGAACCCAGACCTCAAGAGGCCAGTCCTGAATGCCTCGGCTATGGCACCTTTCTCCTTGTGCTCACAGGAGCAGGGCAGTCTCAGGATCAGATGCGCTGCCCATATCTGAAGCCTGAGCTTCCCGGTTGCATGGACTCAACCTCCCTCTTCCCTCTTCCAAGTTGTGAGAAAGGTCAGTGGGGCCTGTCCTACCTGCACCCAATCTCTCCAGAGGGTTCTGGTGGAGCAGTTTAGAGGTGAGGTCCTGGGCATCTGGCGGCAGTGCATCCTCCCCCTCAGGCCACACAATCTCATCTGAAGAGTTGGGGGTAAGAGGGAAGGAGTGGTTTAGAGAAGGGTCTCAGAGGTTGCAGGCAGGCAGAGTGGGGAGATAAAGAAGAGGGTTCTATGGTAAGACATGGGTAGGGAGGCATAACGGGCCCAGCCCAGAGCCACTGAAAGCCTTGCCCAGGACCCAACTCCTTAAGTTCTATAGGTTCCTGCCCTCCTAGGGGGTCGCACATACCCTAGCCCGAAGCTTGCTCTTGATCCAGGACTTCCCCTGTCCTGAAGCTCCAGCTCACCCTGCCTTTACACTTCAGACACTAGTATACTCACACATACACAACACAGGCATATGGGGGATACATGAACACAAATGGAACAAGCCCCACATGACACACACAGTGCACATGTACCCACACACATTCGCATCTAAGAGGCAAACATACTACACATACACACAAATTCAGAACAAGAACTCATAAGCCCCACAGGTGCATGTGTAAATCATATTTGTGGATCCAGACTCTGTCTCCCCAGTATGCCAGGGTGATGGTACCTACCACTGATCACTTGCCCAAAGAGCTCCTCCGGAGTATCTCCAAAGAAAGGGACGCAACCCACCAGGAACTCATACAGGATTATGCCCATGGCCCACCAGTCCACTGGCTTCCCATAGCCCTGACGCAGGATCACCTCAGGCGCAATGTACTCCGGGGTCCCGCATACCTGGGCACAGAGAAGCCAGGCTGGCTCAGCATCCTGAGGTAGCTCATTGGCATAATGGCTGAAGAAGTGGGGATGTTCCCACCTCTGGAGAAGAAAGTCTCTGAAGGAAGACTTGGCTTACTTTGGTTAAAGAACAAGATCAATAGGAACCCAGGGTATCGGATTTGGAACTGTTGGTGGAGTGAATTTACATACTTCCTAACTAACCAAAACATACACTTCTAGCCTGGAACAACCACTCCCTGAGCCCTTAACAACTCTTTCTGGCATCTTGTTCCCATAACTGGCCTCTGCCCTCCAGCCTCTCAAAGGACAGACCCTATAGTTAGTCACATGACTACTACAGGGACTTGCAAATAGTCACAACCTGAACTGTCAAATCAAGGAACATCCAGAGGCTACTCTCAAGAAGCTGGACCATAATCCAGTGGAGACTTGGAGCAGTGTTCCAAGAACAGGCTCCAGAAGAGCCTTGCCCTTGACCAAGGCTATAGGAGGTTCAGGACAAATCTCAGGTTAGTCTCTGAGAGTAACAATGGTTATACGACCTATTTTCTCCAAACCCTGAGGAAGATGACTTTGGATTTTATATCCATATGATTCTTGTGGCCCACCCTATTTTCCAAATGTGCTACCTACCTCAATACCTCGTGGAACCAAAAGGTGGAAAAGATACGAGCTCCCAGTCTTAATATCTAGCTAAGTATATTGCCCCCTACCCTTATTCTGAAGTCTGGAACTCAACTCCCAAGGTCTCAACTATCCTTCTGTACCTGCTTGTCCAGGAACTCCCGGGCATCCTTTTCAATGTGGCCCTCATACAAGTTTGTTGTCAGGCTCATGAGGCCAATTTTAGAAAGGCCAAAGTCAGTAAGCTTGATGTGCCCCATGGATGTAATCAGGAGGCTGGGAAACCAGAGAAACAAAAGTATAGGGTTATTTCCTAGTTTTCTAAGAGTGCTGATTTTTTATATGCCAAAATTTCCCAGTCAGGCTTCCACAGGGTTCCTGTGGGATATAAGCAGGGTAGCTTCATCAAGGAGACCGGCCCCTATGAAAAAAAAAAAAATCTCTGGCTTTGTGAGTACTACATTCTGCACAAGAACTAACCTGCCTTTTGCCCATTCCCCCAACTCATTAATGTTTACTCCCCTCAACTGTATTCTATGCTGGGGGCAGGTACCAGCCAGCTGATGGACTGACTTTCTTCCACAGAAAGATCAGCCGCATCCCAAGGCTCTAGCCATACCCAGCCCTCTTTTCTCACTGGGTGTCTCACGATACCCAGACTCAGGGAGAGGCGAAAGGGGTGAATCATCTTGCTCCATGTGCACAGCTGGTTTTAAAATTTTTTAAAGCTTATTTATTTTGAGAGAGAGAGAGAGACAGAGAGAGACAGAGAGAGAGACAGAGAGACAGAGAGAGAACAAGCAGGGGAGGGGCAGAGAGAAGGAGAGACGAGGGGCAGAGAGAGGGAGAGACAGAATCCCGAGCAGGTTTTGCTCTGTCGGCGCAGAGCCTGATGCCGGGGCTTGAACTCATGAACTGTGAGATCATGACCTGAGCCAAGATCAAGAGTTGGTCACTTAACTCACCTCACCACCCAGGCACCTCTCCACAGCTGGTTTTAAAGGAGGGTTGATTGACTCTCTCTCTGCCCCTCCCCCATTCATGCTCTGTCTCTCTCTGTCCCAAAAATAAATAAATGTTGAAAAAAAAAAATTAAAAAAAAAAAAATAATAAAATAAAGGAGGGTTGATTGGGAGAAACCAGAAATAAGATCTCACAGAGAATGGTCTCTCTGTTCTCCCATTACATACTCTGCTGGGACCATTTCATTTCATGACAAAGGCTTCACCCTGCCACCCCTTTATTCTGATTCCCAAATCAGCATCTGACTTCTTTTATGAGCTTCATGACTACTAACTGCCCAGATGTCTTATGGACACCATGAACTCAACCTGTCCAAAACAGAGTCACACTGCCTAAGTGGTCTTCTCAGAAAATGATTTTTGTTATCTCTGAGTTCTGTTACAAGTAGTTTATTACTTATAAAAATATCCTGGCTCCCAAAAGGTCTTACACAGTAACTAATGCAACAAAGACCAGTATTAATAATTAAAAAATAAATTAAATAAATAATTTATTAATTAAAAACAGTTGATTAATTGATAATGAATAAACAATTAATTAATAATTAATAAAATAATTAAAAAATTATCCCCAATTTTTTAAGAGGAGGAACATGAGGTTCAGAGAGGTTTAATGAAAAGACCCAAACTCACAGAGTTAACAACGGGTCATTTGAACTCAGGTCTGTCTAGTGTCAAAGCCATTTTTCACAAAAGAGGCTATTCCCCATGCATTAGTCCTGAGCTAGAAGTCTGGATGACATCCCAGACTCCTGCTCCCCTGCTTCTCTTCCACCACCCACCCCAACCTTTTGGTTTCCTTTCTACTTCTTAACACTATCCCCTCTCTTCTGCATCTTGCAGGTGTGGTTGTTTTGGGCCTGATCTGCTGCAACAGCCTCACCACCTTTTCCACTGCACAGTGGACTCTAAACCTAAACTAAAATCTGTCATTCTATCATACCTTTGGCTAACAGGCCCTTTGAAAACTTGTTAGGACCCTTTATTTTTTTATATTTTATTTTATTTTATTTTATTTTATTTTATTTTATTTTATTTTATTTTATTATTTTATTTTATTTTATTTTATTTTATTTTATTTTATTTTATTTTATATGTTTATTTTTGAGAGAGACAGAGGGAGAGACAGAGAGTGAATGGGGAGGGGCAGAAAGAGAGTAGGAGACACAGAATCTGAAGCAGGCTCCAAGGCTCTGAGCTGTCAGCACAGAGCCCGACATGGGGTTCCAACTCATGAATTGTGAGATTGTGACCTGAGCTGAAGTTGGACACTTAACCAACTGAGTCACCCAGGTGCCTCCAACCCTTTAAAATAAAACCCAAACCTAACAAAAAGACCCCTGATGATCTAATCCCTGCCTATCTCTCCAGCCTTCTCTCTTACTACTCTGACCAATTAACGATCTCCATTTCCACATACTGTAGTTCCTAGGTCTCATTCTCTCACACCTGGGTGGGTGCCTTTGCAAATCCTGTTTCCTGGCTTTAGAAAGCTCCTCTCACCTTTTCCATCTGACTTATGCCTTCCGAGAAGCAGCCTATACTCAGATATTTCTGTTCCCATACTAAACTTATGTTCTATAGGCCAGGGACTATTTTACAGTCCAGATTATAGCGCTTGGCCCAGAGAGGCCAGTAAATGTTAGAACACTTGTTTATCCATCTACTAGATGTGCCGATTCTTTCGTTCCTGCTTGGTTTCTTTAGTGGAGCTTCTCAGTGATTCTTACATGTCACCGAAGTCTTATGTGCCTGCCAGACTTACTGGCAATGGTCTTTGCATCTGGGGTGGTCAGGAGCTAGAGTACTAGGCCTAGACGGACACCCTCAAGAGCACTATTTCCTAGCATCCATTCTAGGATAGATTCAAACATGCTGTGTCTGCCTCCATCTATTTAGAGATCCAAGAGAGACCCTGGACAAGGAACCAAGAATGTGGGCATACTTGTCAGGCTTGAGGTCACGGTGCACGATGCCATAGTTGTGTAAGTACTCCAGGGCTAGCACGGTTTCTGCGAAGTACAGACGCACCATGTCCACAGGCAGGGCCCCGATGTTCTTCAGCAGAGTAGCACAGTCTCCTCCTGCAACAAGCCCAGGCTACCATGAAGGAAGGATCCAGTTCCCTATGGTCTTAGGCTTTATAGTCTCTGAGGTCCCAGAGGAGACAGCCTCACAGAATAGCCTGGTGCTAGAGACTGTGAATCTAGCCCTTCCAACGCTGGTATGGGGGCAGACAGAGTGTGGAGACAAGTAGGCAGCATGGTGAATCTGCCAATGGCTGTCAGGGCCACTGTTCAGGCCAGAGAGGGTAGGAACCCAGGCTTCCGTACTTGTGAGTGGATTTGCAGGGATGCAGCTGCGTTATTTTAGGGTATGAGTCCTGTATATTATAAACACATCTGACCGAGACTTCAGTATTTGTTCACTTATTTTCTTCCTGACAACTATCCTCTGGTTTTCCAGTAAAATAACACCATAAACTCTCAGCATGTACCCTGAATTAAAAGGGGAGTTTTGTGTTTCAACTTCAAGCCTTAGGCAAAATATCTTTGGCAGTTGTACACAGCAGCGAGAAGGGAAGTGGGAAGGCCACTGGCAGTAAACTGCTCTCTCTCCCCCATATGCCCCATGATGCTCTTTTATTCCATCCCCAGAACATTTTGTGTTCTCAAGGGGTGATCCCTTCACAAGCCATCAGCCAGGCCAATGGCATTCCTTTCTTCTGAGGGTCCAGATACAGTCCTCCCAGCACGTAACCTTGGGCTATGTGGCTCTGCTACCTCCTTTGTTCCTGCCTGACACCAGCAGTAGAGACCGTCCAGGCTTTGAGGTGCAGGATTCTACAGCTATTGGGCTGATACATCTTGTCCCAGAATGCCTCTCTTTGCACCTGATATGGGGAGCCGCATGGCAGCTACTGCTCCAGAAGCCTCTCCCTATGAGGGGCAGGGAGATTTGTGCCCACCATGGCCAAATGGTCTCTGAGATCCCAAGGCAGAAACCAATGCCAAAGAGAGATTGGGAAGCTGGGCTCTGAAACTTCACCCCTATTCAAAGCTGTTGGTCTTAGCTCAGGGCTAAGCCTCATGTTGTGCCTTGGCTTCCATGCCAGGTCACCCTTCCCCCAGTACCTTCCACATACTCCATCACCATGCACAGGTGGCGCTTGGTCTCAAAGGAGCAGAACATGCTGACGACAAAGGGGTTCTCGGCAAAAGTCAGTATGTCACGCTCCACGAAGGCCTGCTGGATCTGGTTCCGTAGGATCAAGTTCTGCTTGTTGACCTTCTTCATGGCAAAGCGCTGCCGAGTGGACTTATGCCGCACCAGGAATACAGCCCTGGGAAACACAGCCCGGCCCAACCCCCATGGGCCCTCAGCAACCTGGGCCGTGCTCCCCACCACCCAGAGCTGGGGTGTCCAAAATGCCTCCTATCACACCTTGTAAATGCACAGAAAAAAGGAGCAGGGGTGAGCTTATCGATGAAAAGGATGTGGGCCCCCTGCCCATAGAGCTCTTCAATTTCCCAATAACACCAAGTCCTGAGGACACAGCTCAGACTTCCCCAGAGCTCACTACAGGAGGAGTGCTACCAAGAGAGGTGGGGACCTTGTCTGGGAAAGGAACAATGCCCACATGTCAGAGGAAAATCAACTCTTGTCTCTCCTGGACTCCTGGCTTTGGAGAGGGAGAGGGTCTATCCTGAGGCATCTGCTGCCCGGAGAATTGGGTATCATATACTTCTAGAAGGAAGAGTCCAAGGGCTGACTTAGCTCCAGTCCTGGCTACACCCTCCCCTCTGCCTTTACCCATAGGCGCCATTGCTGATGAGCTTAATGGTCTCAAAGTCCTCTTCAGAGGGTGTCTTTTTAGTCAGAGATGCCCCACGGCCCTGGAAGACAAGAGCAAAGGCAGAAGGCAGGCATGCTTCTCAGAGCCCACGTGCCTGGGGAAGCTGAGCCCCAGGATCAGCTCAGCTCTTAGTCCTGCTGCGGCCCCAGCCCATTCTTCCTCAGTCAGGAGCTGAATGACTTCTGAGACAGTATGCACAACCACCCACTCCTCCAACCCTCCTTTTAGATATTCTCTCACAGAGGACTCACGGGCCTTTGCTTCACAGGGCCCAGTCTCTGTGATTGGGGCAGAAGCTCAAGCTCTTTACCTCAACTGAATCATCTGTCTCTGGAGTGTCAGGACTGTCATAGCTGCTCAACTGGGCCATTTCTAGAAGCAAAGCAAGGGCACAAGAGAAAGGTGTGCATAGCAATGTCAGTAGTCCACTCACATCACATGACAGGTACGTGCAAAGTAGGCATTAATATTTCCTGCATCTATGCACTCCTGTGGCTCTATCCATAGAAGAGTCATAGCTTTTGGACTTAATTGCCAAATAATACTGCCACTCCTATTTCTAGAAGTCCAGTGCCATTCATAAGGCCTGGAAAATTCTAAAAAGTTTCACTCAAATTTAGGACAATTCCTGAAAACAGGGCCCAAGGGTGGGCTATTGGTCCCTATCCTGCTTTGCCGGATGGGGTTGGGGAACAGAGAAGGCAGGAGCAGGATGAGCACAGACCTGGGACTTAGAAGCCCAGGGTTCATGAAGGGGCACAATGTGAAGCCCCGTGTCAGGACACATCAAAGACACAGGAGAACTTGTAAGGTGGCAGACAAGGAGGTAAGCATGCAGAGGAGGGAGCCATTTTTGAAAATGTAATTGTGGTCTTTTGTTGTTGACCTCTTTTGACATTCTAAATCCACCCCAACTGGCCTCATGCCAATCCAGATTGGGTTAATGTCAGGCAGATGTGAACAATTCTGAAGGAGAAGCTGTTTTCTGACAGAGAATACACGGTTCCTCTGATAGCCCTGAGGCCCCTGATGCTGAGTTGTGACCATGTCCAATCTAAGTCTCTTCTCCAAGTGGCTTTCTTGAGGTTAGAGTTTGTTGGCTGTGGGGCCTCTTCACAGCCACCAGGCAGCATGCTCACCCTCTAGGGGATCCCGTGTGAGGCCCAGTTGACTAACGATGTAGCGGGGAATATCACATTTAATCCCTTGTCCCTCTTTGGCATGGCCCTCGGCTGCTTCTAACAGATGGTAGAACTCTTCAGGGTCAAACTCCTGTACCAGGGGAGAGAGGTGGTCAGTGGTGAGGGCTACAAGTGAAGGCTTTGGTTTTCACAGCACATACCTGGAGGAAGATGAACAAGAAGACTTTCTCTTTGTGATGGGACACCCCTGCCTCCGAATACCCAGAAACATCATGATTCATGGATCATGAGAATGGGGACAAAGTTGTCTTCCAGGTGAGCTCCAGACTGGACACCCTAAGCATGTGTTGTCTTCCTCACACTAAGAACCAAAGCTTTTGGCTTCAAGATAGCTCAACCTATTCATCTGGTCCAAAGCCTTCTGCCAGCCAGATGGTACTATCACACACACACGCACAACTACATGCAGGCCTGCCTTCAGATATTTACCGAGGACTTCCTACGTGCTAGGACCGGAGTGCCATGTGGACAGCACATGAGTCCTTGTCTGCACAGAGCACAGAACAGTGAGGATTCTATTTACTGAGTCCCTACTAAGTGCTACACTCTGGACTAAACCCGGCTAACACCTCTATGACCTCAGTGAGGAAATCAAGGCCCAAATAGATGCACTGATTTATCCATGGTCAGAGAGACAGGAAGGGACAGAGAGCCAGCATTCAAACCCAGGCCTGACTCCAAGCCCTGTCCAAGCATGGACTTCATGTTCTTGAGGAAGAGGCCCTCTGCTTGACCACAAGTCCAGCTTCCACGGCTTCCCTCATCTCTGGTCTCAATATTTTGGAGAAACATCCACTGCCAGAGGAGAGTAATCTTACTCTCCTATGAATTTAAAACGTGGATTAATCTAGTAGGCAAGATCTGGAAGTCCTTCTAACTTCTTATTCTTTCCTCAGTCCCTGGTCAGAGTGTCTGTCTCCTAAACCCCTAAAGCTCCTCCATCTACCTCTTCTCTGTGCCCCTACCACTGGCCTCCTCAGGCCACTCCTATCTGCACACGAACTGCTGCTTCTGGCTATTTGCCTGGTCATCCTGCCCTCTCTTCCAATTCACCACCCATGTTGCCACCACAGTAATCTTTCTCAGGAGTAAATCTGATGGGATGTTACTCATAAACAAATAGGAACCCATTAGTGATACATGTAACATGTATAAAACAAAACAAAAAAAAATTATGCTGGAAGAAGTCAGAACATACTACATAATTTCATCTACATGAAACTATACAAAGGGCAAGCCTATCCACAGTGGAAGAGAGCAGATAAGCGGCTGCCTGGCAGTGGGAGGTGAGGGATGGGAGAGAGACTGACTGCAAAAGGCACAAGGGAACTTTTTGAGGTGAAAGAAATGTTCTCTATCTCAACTGCAGTGGTGATTATGCAGGTGTGTATATGTTAAAACTCATTGAATACATCAAAAAGGATGTATTTTATTGTATATAAATTATGTGTTAATAAAGCTGGTTAAAAAAAGTAAATCTGACCATATCACATTCTTACCTAAACTTTCTGATGGCTCCAAGTGGCCCTCAGGATAAACCCAAACTCTGGAGCAGGGATCCTGACCCTCCGTGATGCTTCACCGCCTACCCTCCAGGTTTCTCCCTCACCAATTCTTCACACTCACCTGTGCTCCATCGAATGCCCTTCCCGGGCAAACTCATAATCATCCTTCATGTCCCCCAAGCTTTGTGTCCTCTAAGAAGCTTTCACCAAACGTTCATCCCAAGGAGGACTAAGGCACCTCCTTCCTTCCCCATGTTCTTGTCACACTTTGGACTTCCCTCAGTTGCAACACTACTTGCAGTATCATAATTATTATTTCTACATCTCCATGCCTCCTACCTGAGGCACTGAAAGACCAGCTCCACTACAGAGGGAGTACCTTAGGCTCAGGGACTCTGCTGTGTTTAAGTCTGTGTCTCCAGTGTGTGGCGTGGAGCAGGTGCTAAGTGCTGCTGCATGATGAACTGGTGGACTCGACTTGTGTCAATGGAACTGGCCTATGCTCCTCACCGCCCAAAGCCCACTCACCTGGGGTCTGCTCAGTGTGTGGAGGTCAGACGAATACCCCTCAGGACCAGCCATTTTCCTCACAGGAACTCATTTGGGCCCAATGCCAGCATACCACATTTAAACAAGGATGTCAGCAGCAGAAATGACGGTGGTACTACCATAGTTCTGCTGTTAGCAGGATACTTCCTCTGTATGCCCCACCCCCTCCCAACCTTCTCTGGAGTCCACTCACCAGGCATTCCAAGAGCCGAGCTGGGCGGGCAATGACAATCATCAGCTTCTTCACCAACTGCATCACAAAAGCCACTTCTGAACTCTCTGAGCGCTCATGAGCCTGTAGAGAACACAAAGGTTGGTTAAGCAATCCACTGGCACATCGTGGTTGGGCTAATGCAGGACTGGGCTGGGCAGAATGGACTCTGGGGAGACACAAGTTGGTAGAACAGAGACTTCTGCAAAATGAAGGACTTAGGGAAGGCCTGTGTGCCATGAGAGACAGCAAGCCGCTCACAGGAACTGTGTGAACTTCAGGACACTACATGACACCGGGGAATGTCACAGAGACCCTGGCTCAAGGGACAATCCTCAGGGGAGTTTCATTGTTCACTCCCCACCCCAGGCAGAAGGTCAGGAATAGAAAGGCTTCAAAGCAGGAGTGATGCGACCAGACAGTATTTTAGAAAGATGGCTCTGGCTGTAGTGTGGATGGTGCACTAAAGAGCACAAGCCTAAAAGCAGAAAAACCCATTAATGGACTGCTGTAATAATGTGCATAAAAAAGGCATAAATCAAGGCAGGAAGAATAGAAGGAAACACAGTCTGGGGCCATTTCAGAGGTAGATGGCTGAGTACAGCGGAGGGTTGGACGAAGCAAGAAGAGAAGGGAACTGCAACTACAGTTTTAGGGAAAGTTCAGTGAACCCATAAATAAAACAGGAAATATAACAAGTAGTTCAAGTAAGGGAAGGTGGAGAAGCTCCATTTTGGATTTGCAGAGTTTGAGATACCTAGATTAGATACTCTATTGGGTATTTACTCAGCCCAGGAGCCTTTATCTTTTTTATGGAAACTGCTCTGACTTCTAGTAGCTACAATTGTATCATGTGGCTGAACCTTCCATCCCACCTCCAACAGCTGACAAGTGTGGATTACTCTCCTAGGAATTTAAAAATGGACGGAAAGACAACTGTTATTTATCGGTGTGCTAGAAGAGTATAATCTACTGTTGGATGAAAAGGGATGGCCACATCTACCAAAGAGACCTAGGAAAAGCAGCACAGAGAAAAATGGCAGGAAGGGGAATCACCACTTCCTGAGCTTCCCACAGTTTCTGGTTTCTAGTTTTGGTCCCTTAAGACCGGGTTGCATTCCTGTCTTTAATTCTCTAAAACCCACCCTTTTCATCTTTATAATTAGTTTCTCCTTCCTGCTTAAACTACTTTGAGTTAGCTTTCTATTACTTACAACCAAAAAATACTAACCAATCTGGAAGTCGAAGTGGGAGTGGAACCAATAAACAGTGGACTGGAGCTCCAATACTGACCAGGGGCTAAAGAGAACAGGGAGAGAAGCAGCCAGGTGGCTGTCCTCAACACATGGGCGACAATAGAAGGCACGGAAGATGAGGCTGTCAGAGAGCGTGTGAAGAAAGGAGGAAGAGGAGACCAACACTCAGGGCTGTACCCTGTGGAACATCAACATTTAATACTTTTATTTTATGTATTTTTAAAGGTTTTTTTTTTCCCCCAATAATCTCTACACCCAACATGGGGCTTGAACTCATGACCCCAAGATCAAAGAGTTACATGCTCTTTCGACTGAGCCAGTCAGGCGCCCCCTAAAGCCAAATGAAAAGCATTTAAGAGATGGGCAAAAAAGGAATTTGTGAAAGGGCAGCAAGACTGCAAGACTGGAGAGAACAGTGCCATGACCCCAAGTGGGGGAAAAGTCCAGGAGACAGATTCACACTGTAGAGCTCTGCAGAGCTGTGAAGAAGGATGAGGACGGAAAGAGGCCATAGGATCTCTTCGGCAACTGGTTGCTTGGTGGCTTTAGCCTGAAACAGTGTTGTGGAATGGTGGGAAGGGAAAGTAGAAGGCAGAAGACTGGGCAGGTTGTTAGACTGAATGGGTTGTTAGTAAAGAAAACTAGCAAATGAAGACCATTACAAAAATAACTGGTTATGAAATGAAGAGAGAGGCTGGGCACTACGTGAAATCTTGTTTATTCTTTTAAGACTTAACCCAAATAGCCACTTTGTGAACCCTCACTGAGATCCTCTGCCTGTACCTCCCACCCCACCCAAACACATAAGAACAGGAACTAACTGCTCCCTCTTCTATGTTTTGTTTGCTTACATGCCATGGTGCCACATGTTTGTTTTTTATTTTAGAGAGAGAGAGCAGGAGAGAGAGGGAGATGGGCACAGAGAGAGGAAGAGAGGGAAGGAGAGGGAGAGAGAGAGAGAATTTTAAATCCATGCATGGAGCCTGACTTGGGGTTCAATCCCATGACCCTGGGGATCATGTCCTGAGTGTCAGACATTCAACTGACTGAGCTACCCAGGTGCCCCCCACATGTTGTTTTACAATTAGTCATCTGTTTCTACGGCTACACTGTAGAGCCTTATGAACAGAGACACTATGTCTTTTGTTCTTCCTTTACATGCTAAGACTAGCATAGTGCCTCTTACAGAGCAGATGCCAATGTTTGTTGATTAAGTGTTTGAAAATATGATCTTAGGCTCTGGAATAAGACAAACCTGGGTTTGGGTTCTAGCTCTGTTACTTAAGAAATGAGTTACCTTTGGGGCGCCTGGGTGGCTCAGTCGGTTAAGTGTCCGACTTTGGCCCAGGTCATGATCTCACGGTTCATAAGTTCAAGCCCCACGTCAGGCTCTGTACTGACAGCTTGGAGACTGCAGCCTGCTTCGGATTCTGTGTCTCCCTCTCTCTCTGTACCTCCCTACCTCACGCTCCCTCTCTCTGTCAAAAATAAATAAACTTAAATTTTTTTTTTTTTTTTTAAGAAATGAGTTACCTTGGGCTAACCTAGCTTCTTTAAAGCTTTGGTTTCCTCACCTGTAGACTTACAGAATAGTAGTACCTTACCTACAGTGTTGCTATGAAGATTAAATTAGATAAATTAAATGAGATAATGCAGTATCTAGTATGCATTAAGTGTTCTTCAATAACAGTTATGTTTATTATTTTAAATATAAATTTTACCATGCCATTTTCCAAATTACAACCATTAATAATTTTCCCACTGCCTTTATGATAAAACCTAAGCTCCTCACAGACACTTCAGCCTTTGCCCATCCCTTCCTAATTTTCTCTGCAGGCATCCTTCACCTAGTCATGCCAAACTACTTTATCTGCAATTCCTGGAATGTCCCAAGTTCCTTTACACCTCTCAGAGTGGCCTGATTCCTGGGGCTGGCTGGTGCCAGCTGCTGGTGGGCAGACTGACCCTAAGTGGTTGTTCCTGTGTATCTTTTGATGACTCTCATGATGCATTTACTGTTTACATTTGTTTTGTTTACACAGGTTTGTAAATATTATTGCCTAAGATGTTTGTATATAACTTGTAGCTTTTATTTATTCAAAATTCACATGTTAACGACTTATGATGGTGTCCTACTCCCACCATTACGTGGTTAAAAAAGAAAATAATTCCCCTCAAAAATTTTTTTAATGTGGCAACAATAACTTTCACAGGAGAAAAAAAAAAAAAAGGAAAAAAATAACAACAAAAAATTTTTCCCTAGTGAACTCCTACCTACTTGTCAAGACTCAACTTTTCCCGAACTCTCCATGCAGAGTCAGCATATCTTCCTCCGTGCTCAGAACTGACCTCTAATATTTAGTGCTCACCAATTCACAATTACTATAACACACAAAAGTGAGATAATTCACGTACTCAGTGTAGTGTCTGGCACACAGTACACTTCAATAAATGACAGCTGTTCTTTTTACTTGTTGATGGGTCTGTAATCCCACTTAACAGCAAATTCCTTGAGCTGGAACCTGCAACAAACTTTTTTCTGAATTCCTAGGACCTAGCAAATTAGGGAGCAGATGAATGCACTGACTCCATATTCAGTGTTCTTGCTGCACCAAACAACCTACTCCCAGGGGGACAGGAGTTTGGGAAAACGCCTGAAGGTTTTGGGCAAGGCTCTGACTTTAGCATTTTTGGAGATCAATCTTAGATATACAAACAACCTGGGAAGTCACTCTACCTTGATCCTTTGCCTGATGCCACAATCCCAGATTCCTATCCACTGTTGGAAAGTTATTCTTGAACAGAAACAAAGAGCTGCCAGGGATATGCATGAGAATTTAGTTGCCTAAAGTCAAATTTCTACAATGTCTGAATTTTTTTTTTTAATTTTTTTTTCAACGTTTATTTATTTTTGGGACAGAGAGAGACAGAGCATGAACGGGGGAGGGGCAGAGTGAGAGGGAGACACAGAATCGGAAACAGGCTCCAGGCTCTGAGCCATCAGCCCAGAGCCTGACGCGGGGCTCGAACTCACGGACTGCGAGATCGTGATCCGGCTGAAGTCGGACGCTTAACTGACTGTGCCACCCAGGCGCCCCTACAATGTCTGAATTTAAGTATTATTCTTGAAATAAGAAAAAAAAATTTTTTTGTAGAAGGAAGTAATTTTTCATCTATTAAATCAAAACTTTTCTCACTGTAACACTTGCCCACTGGGTTAACAGGCCTTTTAGGGAATGGAAAACAATCTGCTACCTATTATATATGAGAAATCTTCCAATATTTGACAGTAATAATCATGGTCATTTTTAATCATCTATCTCTAGATTCTAGTGTTTCCTAATTAAAAAAAATAAACTCCCTGTTCCTAATTTCTAGACCAACACACTGAAGTCCTGTTTGATCATTAGCCCTGGGTTCTCAGCTCAGTTGGTACTACCCCAGAGCAAGGTCATAGGTCTAGAAGTAATAGGGGCCTGGACTAGGAAATACTCTAGTACACAAAGAGGTACATGTCCTTCCCGTTAAACTGTACTAATGGTGTAGTATGGGGCAACTGTCATTTGAGTGGGCAGGCATCCGACCACCTATTTGTAGAGACCAACAGGAAAGCAAACTCTGGAGCATGAAGCAGTAGTTAAGAACTCACTGGACACTCTGGTCTTGACCATCTCTGGGTTATTTTATCTCTAGCCTCCTAGAGAAGACTTTTCACACTGGGGAGGATCGGGTCTCTAAATACCTAAATCCCTACTAACAAAGTTCTCACCATGTAAACAGAATGTCAGCGAATAGATAAACCCATAGTACAAGCCCCAGCCTGTTTCCCCTTGGCTGAGCAGAACCAGTCTGAAGGCTCTGCTTATACCAGTATTTCTACTAGAAGAAAACCCACCACAGCCGCTGGGGCCACTTTTAGGCTTTCAGTATTTTTTTTTTTTTTTTTTTAATTTACATCCAAATTGGTTAGCATATAGTGCAACAATGATTTCAGGAGTAGATTCCTTAATGTTCCTTACCCATTTAGCCCATCCCCCCCTCCCACAACCCCTCCAGCAACCCTCTGTTTTTTCTCCATATTTAAGAGTCTCTTATGTTTTGTCCCCCTCCCTGTTTTCATATTACTTTTGTTTCCCTTATGTTCATCTGCTTTGGGTATTTATAAACACTACCAATGTTGGAGCCTCAGGCAGAGGAATCAGAATCAGAAAAAGAAAAACCCCCCAGAACCAAGTTCTTCTCACACCACACAGGCTTCTCTTAGCAATGCAGGGGACTGAGTAGGAACCAAAGTCCATCAGCAACCACACTCGGGGGTGGACTCTGCACATGAGTAAGGAGGTGGGGGCAAGCGGGCTGAGAAGACTGGAAACAAAATCTTAGCCTTAATCTTAGCTTGGAATTAATAATCCACTACCTCACAGAGAATTTACCAGAATTCCAGCACAAGGACACTCACATCTTGCAGAAGTTTCTCTAAATTCTCTTGAAGCTCATAGAAGTAGTGTGATGTAATGAGACGACTCTGAGATTTATCCAGGCAGTCTCGGGCCATCTCAATCACCTGATGATGAATAAAGCTCAAGGTTCCATCTGCCAAGGGCAACCCACTGTCTGGAGTGTTGGAGGAAATGAATTCTGCAAGACGCTCTTCCATTTGTGCGGTGGCCTGCAAATAAAAGCAGGAAAAGTGACATTTCGCTTCTAGTTCCAGCTCACTTGGGAGCTCAGCCTGAAGGACCTGGTAATAACCTGAGGATAAGCTCTGTGATCCTGGTTTCCTGATGTTGCATTTGGGGAACCTGACAACTGGACATATGAAAAGATCACCGTCAGGTCAAGTCAAAACATTACAGTCAAGGCCCTCTCTCACGTGACCTTGCCTATCTCCCCCCCCCACTTCTTGGAAGATGTGCTCTTTTGCTCTGAGGACCTGGAAGTGTTTGCTGCTCTCCCCCTTTAGCATGCTGCTTCATGCCTGTTCATGCTGTTCCCTGTATGTAGCTTTTTCACCTGCCAAGCCTGACTGGCAAACTCCTATCACTCCTCTAATCTCAGTTCACACATCACCTGTCTCTCCTCTGGGAAGTCTTTGATTCCTCCAGGCAAATAGGGTTTCCTTTCCTCCATGCTGCCACTAGACCTCCTTGTGTATAGGCACTGCTAGTTTCTAAACATTTCTCTAGACTGGGAATTACAAGTCAGAGAGAATTTGATTTATTTCAGGATCCTCTTACTTGACTTTAGGACTCAACTCAACTAAGCAGATGCTCAGAGAGTGTTTACTGAAGGTGTGAACCTGCCTCCTCACGGACCCAGACCTTCAACAGAGCAGAAAAAAAGTTTAGTTCAGAAGCCTCTGGGGGACCTAACTGCACAGTCACGTCAAATGATAAATACACAGCAGTTAACAAGTTCATAGCTGCCAATCTAGGACGTGACCTAATCTTTCCTTTGCCACAAGATGGCAATTTCTGATTTCCAGTGTGTGTTTAGGTGGATATATGTGTATCTGGTATTTTCATCATAAGCATTTTTGCCACATTTTTACAGTATAATTAATTGGCCATAAGGCAATTTTGCTGTATGAAAAAAATAACTGGTTGACAGTTTGGTTTCATTTCTCCAATAATGCAGTATTCCCATTTTGTATCATATAAACCTTAGCCTTCATAATGGTCTATACAGTGGCACCGAGTTTTGAACCCACATTTCCCATAGAACTTTGGAACATCTATAAAACGACATGTGACAACATGCTAAGAACAAACAGTGTGGAAGGCTTTCACAACAATACAGAACTCAGTTATAAATATGTACCCAAGTATTTAGAGAAACTGATACTTCTCTTAATGAAGGATGAAATTTTGATCAAAAAAGAAAAAGTGTGATGCCAAACAAGGAGATGAATCTAGCAAAAACAAAATGTATAATACTATGACCAAAAGACTTTGAAGACAAATGCTTACGTACAATCAACAAAATAAAATCAGTTATTTGTGCTGTATTGCAATTAATCAACACTACACATTTTGAATGTATACAAATATTTTGTGTATTTTGTTTGCAAATAGCCTTTTAATTTTGTGATTTGTTTTCTGTGTTTCATTATGTTCTTTTCAATGAATGTCCCTCATTTATTTTTTGTGACCTTATTCTTTACAACAAAATTGCCCAATGGCCAATTAGTTATGTAGTAAAAGTGCTTATGGAAAAACTACCCAGAACTATGTATATAAACACACATCTAAGTACAAACACACACACACACACACACACACAGTATGTGGAGAGAGAGAGGAAACAGAAGGAAAGGAATCTTAACATATTTTTTCTAACAGTTCGTCTTTACATGAATGACTTGGAGACATCCATACGAAACAAATACGCAATGTTAAAATGATAATATAACACCTAACATTTAAGCAGGAGGAGATGCATTTTAAACACTACACACTCCCAAATTTCTTTGTAAGGATCAAGCATAAAAAAATGATTTCCTAGGGGCTCCTGGGTGGCTCAGTCGGTTAAGCGTCCAACTTCAGCTCAGGTCATGATCTCACAGTTCGTGGGTTCGGGCCCCGCATTAGGCTCTGTGCTGACAGCTCAGAGCCTGGAGCCTGTTTCAGATTCTGTGTCTCCCTCTCTCTCTGCCCCTCCCCCACTTGCACTCTGTCTCTGTCTCAAAAATAAATAAACACTAAAAAAAAAAAAAAAAGATTTCCTAGCTGTTCATTCTGCCTATCTTCCTCACTCTTACTCTCTAATGCCTGCTCCAAGGCATAGAAAGCACAGACCACAGGGCACTGGGCAACAAAGAAACAATAGCTCACACTGAGTGCTTATTATGTCCTGGGCACAGTTACAAAAGCTTAATGTCCATTAACTTTCATAAACTCTCTATGAGATCAATACTCTTATCCCAAATTACAGATGAGGCAAATCAAGCTCAGAGAAGTTAAATAATCTGTCCGGGGTCATATAGCCAGTAAATGGTAGAAACAGATTTAAACCCATTCAGTCTGGTTCCAGAAAGTGTGTCCTTCCTAACTGCTATGCTTCACTGTGTATGTCAGGAGGGAAAGTACAGGGTGTCATATCATTTCCCTAGGCCACCCATGTGTGTCCAGAAGACTATACTGGAGTCTAGAAAAAGGACACTCTCAAAAGAGTAGGAAACCAACTGCGCACTGCAGATCCTATACACAGATGAACAGACCCAGGGAAGTCTGGACAGAGGATGAAGACAGAGGCTTGAGGACTCCATGCTCCTTGCTGTCATGGACAGGGAGGCTGAGTCAGTCCCTGGTTCAGACAGAGCTGGCTGTGTTCTGCAGGAATAGGGCCTGGCACGAGAAGACCAGGTGAGAATGTATAGGCGTGCTGTGCAAAAAGGGAAACAAAGGCCTTGGTTCCATACACTTGGTGGTTTCCAGCCAAACCATAGAGCTGTGGAACCTACTTCTCCACTATCCCAGGAGAGTAATCTGCCTTCCTCCTTCAGCATTTTCCTGCTTGAACACTCTGTCTCCCACTTTCCTGCTCCCTCTGGCCAACCTCCTGCCAGTCCAGCACACCTGTCTGCTGTGCACTCTATGGGCCTGGTAATGAGGCTCTGCTTAAGAAATCTGCATCAAAGGAACGTGCTCTCTGATAGCTAATTCCATTCTATGGGGACCCTGACTTACAGACCTGATGTGCATGGTTAGAAACAGGGTCCCCAGTTCTTCTCTTCCTCACTAACATACAGCAGAGCATCTTTCTAACATTTCTCTCTAGATACCTCTCCAGGGAGTGAAGAAATATAGGCCCTGCAAGCATGAGCCCCAGACTCATAGTCCTCTGCTGCCTGCCTCTTCTCCAGCAGTCTGGAAGCCTTGTGTTTGTATCCTCCTCCTGCCAGGGACCTTTCTGCTCTTCTTGATTACCTATGGAGAGAGCATTCCATCCCCTCACCCTCAGTCTTCCCACAGGGGCAGCCCTCCTCAGAATCCTTACCTTGGGAAATCTTTCTTTGTACACATGATTCATCATTATTATTTCACTGTCAAAGGAAACTGGGGACCGTCCAGGACTAAATAAGAAAGAAACAACTGTGTTACTTCAGTGCCATGGAACTATCAAGAAGGAAGATGACCATTCCCAGAGTCCCACTCCCACAATGTCTGCAGAGTTCCCTCCCACTGTCTGCAGCACCCACACACTCCCACCTTAATGACTACTGACTTCTAGAGTCTTCCTTTTTCCTGAAGCTCCCAGCATACCTTGTTTAGCTCAAAATGCTGCCATCTGGAACTAGGCTACTTTCCTGCAAGAAGCCTAGCTTTCACAAAGACCTTTGCCAGTGCCTGAAAAGGCCTAGAAAGGAGGAGACTACTCCTGAGACTACCTGTGGTCTTCCTAGGATGACCTCCCCCAGAACAGGACTCTCTGGGTCTTCTTTGCTTTGGCCAGTAGATTTAGTATACCCCAGCATGTTCTAGGAATCAAATCAAATCAAACCACCACCAAAACAGCCAAAGGAAGACAGTGTATACCTATATCTTTTTCCAAACATGCTGGAGCCAATGAGGCTAACTTGGGCTCTGACCTGGGGGATAAATGAGGCCAATCCAGCTTATAGTGTGTTATAAGCCTGGGTCCTCTGTACGTTCTCCTTTGACCCACGTGTGGTTACATCTTCTTAAAGGATTTCAAAGTTTGAGCCACACAATTGGATATTTAGGTCCTGCCCATTTTGGTGCCCCTGACATGTGACCCCAACTGAGCTAGGTTCAGAACCGTTCCTCTTTGCCTTTCCTCCCTGGTGTGGGGCCATGGTCTGCCTGCTGTATCAGTATACATTACCAAGTATTTTAAGAGTAATACAGCAATGGGGCACTTGGGTGGCTCAGCTGGTTAAGCGTCCGACTTCAACTCAGGTCATGATCTCAGGGTTTGTGAGTTCGAGAACTGCAATGGGCTCTGTGTGTACAGCTCAGAGCCTGGAGCCTGCTTCAGACTCTGTGTCTCCCTCTCTCTCTGCCCCTCCCCTGCTCACACTCTGTCTCTCAAAAATAAATAAACGTTAAAAAAAATTTTTTTTTAAAGAGTAATGTAGCAGGGATTTCCCTGAGATACTGTGGTCCCCTCAATCTCAAATGGCCTAAGATGTACCCTTTACCCTGTGGATTACGGAGAACACCAAGATTTGGGTGTTCCTCTGAGTGAGACAAAGAAAGGCACTGGGATCCACACTCTACAACCACTCATTTGTGTTTCTCATCCTCTACACTACAGTCCAGTGATCATCTTCATCAGTCTATGAACTCAAACCAGTCTTTATGGTCTGGCTCGGCCCATTCCCCAATACTCATAGTAGCAACACTACCTGAGGTGATTCTTCCTGGGAGGCCATGCTCCTCTGTGTCCCCACCCTGAACATATTAACCAATTTATTATTTCCCAGGGGCTCTGGAAAGCTGAACTCAGTCATTAAAGTCATGCCCATTTTAATTTCCACCCTCTTCCTTAATCTGGAATTATGGTGCAATTTTATCAGCTAATGCCAAAGAAAAGAGTGAATTAGTCTAAGGATTCACAGACAAATCAGCTGCTATAGTTTGTATGGTTTGATGAGCCCAGCTGAATCAGGGAAATGAGTTAGATTCAGATGGGCATTTAATTCTGCTTCTGAAATTGGCTTCTTCCCTAAGTCAGCCACAAGTGTCTTCAGCAGCAACTTTTGTAGCTGGCCTAGTTCATATACCCTGGGACGGTGGGTTCTGCAGCCAGGTAAATATCAGAACAGATCATACTATTACTCTCCTCTTACTGAATGGAGCTTAAAGTATATTTATACTGCTAACTACTTTTTTTAATGTTTACTATTTCTGAGAAAGGGAGAGACAGAGCACGAACGGGGGAGGGGCAGAGAATGAGGAGACACAGAATCTGAAACAGGCTCCAGGCTCTGAGCTGTCAGCACAGAGGCTGACACGGGGCTCAAATTCATGAACCACGAGATCATGACCTGAGCTGAAGTTGGATGCTTAACCGACTGAGTCACCCAGGCAGCCCTCTATTGCTAACTACTTTCAAAGGGAAAAAGAGAGGGACCACTCGACAGCATCATCAGATATGCTTGAGTGTCACTGGACTTAACTCATTTGAGCTGTGCCAAGGTGCTGTGCCAGGGGTTGGCAAACTATGGCCCACAGACCAAATCTGGCCCGCTGCCTGTTTTTGTAAATAAAGTTTACAGAATGTCTGTGGGTGCTTTCGCACTACAACAGTAGAGTTAACTAGTTGCCACAGGGACTGTATGGCCTACAAAGCCTAAATTATTTACTATCTTGCCCTTTATAGAACATCTGCCAATTCCTATGCTGTGGAAACAGGCTGAGTTCCATTGGTCCTGGGGTAGCAGGCAGAGAGGACTCCTTACCTGAGGCTGCGAGAACGGGGCCGCATGGCTGGGGACTGCCGTCCCTCCTCATCTGGTACACTCTCTGTGCTGAAATGTTTCGTCAAAAAGTGCAGCTCATCAGCTGTAGGCTGGAAGGGCAACTGGTGAAGCTTTTCCTGTGAGGAACATGATGACTAAAGGGAAAAACATTAAAAAACAGCATTATAGGCATGTCTAAGTGCAGTCCAGGAACAGAGAGAACTTCCCAGTCAATGTGAACCCAAAGGTAACCAAAATCAGGCCTTCTTTGCTTTGTTCCTTTTAGTCTCCACTGTGTAGGATTCCCCTCTCTACTCCTTCAGAGCCTTTAGTCCTGAGGAAGCCAAGATACTAGGAGCTGACTTGAAAACAATTAAGAATTCCAAACATGGTCCAATGACTGAGATTCCAGACAAGAGCCCACTGCCAACCATAACAGACCTTTGAGGGAGCGAGCTGTGCTACGACAGGAATCCCACCAGATGCAGCAACTGCTGTGACAGCCCTATGCAGCACCAGAATCAGTGAAGTCCCCCTTTCCTGACAAGGGAGCAGGCAGATCTAACACCATTGGCTCAGTTTCCGTTCACCAACTGATGAAGAATCTGGGGTTCAAATATCTAAATCCATTTAGAGTCAAAGCTGCAGCACCACACTGAGGAAATTGTTGCCACAAGTAAGCCTCAACACCAAGTGAAAAATCAGAACTTTTTTTTGAGCTACCGGCATAGGCTTCTGTCATGGAATGCTATCACATGAAGCTGTAAATAGCTAGTGGGAGGTCTCCACAGGGCTCTGTCTTGGCCACATTTTTGGAAATAGTTTGGATAGAAATTGCAAAAAGTATCTTCACCCAACTGCCACTAAGATGAAGTAAAATTGGTTTTTTAAAGTATCCCAATAAAATAAGCTGCAGCCATGGGTTGAGTCTATTAAAATTTATTGAACAGGTACATGTCATATATATCTTTATCTTGCCTTAGGTTAAAAAATCATCATCTGAGTAAAGGGTTATAGGGAAAGGGATATTTACCAGGCAGAGATCTAAAGCTTAACTGCTGCTAAAAGACCAGTGAGATCTTTGGATTAATTTATGAGAAATATCTAGGTCAAGGGAGGAAATGATACTCCTTTTACTTGCTTGGTATTCATGAATGTCAAAACTGCCTAGGAAGACCTGAAGAATGGCGGAAGACATGGGGAATGGGTCATCCAGCCTGCTGCCCAATCCAGCCTGCAAAGCCTATAATACTTACTATTTGGCTCTTTACAGAAAAAGTTTGCCAACCTTGTCATCCTGGCTTCAATTAAACCTTGCTCAATGAGGAAGACTCATTTTACCGTCAATTGTGCACAGCAGCAATTATGACATCTGTTGTGTTTTAGGCTAAACCTTCTCTAAAAGAAATATAACTAGAAGTTTTAGAGACAGGCTTAGCTTTTTTTGCTGATATATATCAAACTTCAATATAAAATACCATCCTTCCCTTCTTTTTGAAAGGAAAAGGTGAAAGAGGAGAAGGATGGTCCACCAGGCCTTTGGGACATGGGAGGGTCTATCTGCTCTTGGTTGCAGGTCTAGAAATAAGTTGGGGGAAGATTCTTGCTTAGGATCCCCCATGTCTGGCAAAGCAAAAGTCCATCCTCAAGCCCTCCTCTAACTCAAATAGGAAAAATTGATGCCCAGAGAGCATGCTGGTTAGTTCTTTCCAAAGGTGTTTAATGGATTTGGCTATAGCTGTTAAGGGCCACCACTGCCCCACTGAGCCTCATCCCAAACAACCTGAGTTTGGCTTTGGCGGGAAAACTGAGAATCACTTTGCAGCACACTTTAAGGACAGGCAGCAATAATCTGTAGGGAAGTATTTCCTTGGGGTGATGGAGGTAGAGCCACAGATTTGGCTACTTACTGAGACAGTAGAGCTAGGAGTGTTGGTTCCATAGCCTGAAGAGGGCAAAGAGGCCAAAGACCAGCGCCGTCCATCAGTCCTATGTAAGATTAAGAATATTAGGCAGTTTCCACAGGACCCCACCCTGAGCCCTGGACCTGCCTGTCTTTCCATTAGCATTTTTTGGGCAGCTGGTTCACTGGTAGGCTCTTCTTGGTCTCTACACAGTACTGCTCGGTCTAGTACATGCTTTCATGTCTCTCTCCCACATGGGGCCTATGGTTGTGTGTTTTCCACTGCAAAGACAAACATCTCTGACTAAAAAGAAGTCTGTGACTTTGAATAAGAACATCTGGTATATAATACTGCGGTTCTGAAATAAAAATCTTTATACTCTCAACCTATTTACTTTTAGAGAAGCAATGACAGAGGGCTCCAGCTAAAGGCATCACCACAAGGAGAGAACTGCCACTGAAATGCAGCTATTCCTTTTTCCGAGGACTCCATGTGAAAGGCTCTTTGGTCTTCCCAGGCCACTGGGTTGATAAGGAAGAAGTGGATCACCATCTGTGTCTGAGTATGAATTAATCATTGGCAAACAGTCCAAGGTTACTTAAGATCCATTAGGGCCTATAAAACCAGTCTTTGAGAATGTTTGTAAAGAGTGACAGTAACCTCATGAAAGAAGAGTGAGGTGGCACAACCTTGGCTGTGTATAAGATTTTGGAGTGGGCTTCCTGCTGCTCTTGAGAGGATGCACCTCAAAGCTCTCGTCACAGAGAACCACTTATCTGCTTTGCTGTGGAGGAGAAAGAGCAAGCAGGTATCTGGTTTGAAGCTTTTAGTACATGGACAAGTGATTCTTTCCTGGACTATGGGATGTGCTGTTCAACAAGTGTTTTTTCTTATGAAGCCTGGGGGGATAGCCTGATCTGGGTGAAGATGGAGAAAATTTCTTTTCTGCTCCCACAGAACCTTAGAACATTAGCAATGGAAGACGTTTAGAAGTTAAATACCCTCAATCTTTGAGAAAACATTAAGGTCCAGGAATTTGGGTGATTTAGTCCAGACTTCACAGTTAAGGGGAGTGGGGAGAAGCAGGGAGAGAAAGGAGAAAAAAGAGGACTCAATCTTGCCAGGTCTTTCCCTTTTGAAGCATTCCTCTCCACCCCCACCAATACTCAGCAGCTTTTCCTACTATATTCTGCAAGGGGACAGTCCAGGGTTCCATGCCACATGCACCTGATTCAAACTTCATGCCACCCAGGCAGCTAGTTCTGCTGGAACCTAGTCTCTGAGGCAAAGAAATGTCCAGGAGGCTGCCTAACATGATGTTCTCTCTGACCTCTTTGTTGGGTCCCAAGAGCTCTACACAAGAAAGCAAGTCAGTTCCAGGAAAACAGAGCTCACCAAAGACAGTATTAGTCTAATTCAGCGAGGAATTTCCCAAACCCTTGTCAAATAGACTTTTTCACAGATCGTTTTTCCTTCTTTAGATAGAAATGCAAACAAACTGCAGGGCAGCCATTTTCTGTAATCTGAAGAGCAAGGGCTACCACAGTCAGAAAGAAATGCCACTACAGGATGCCTCCATCTCCTCTGCCTGGTCATCTCATTCGGTGACTGAGGAAATTTGTGGGAATGAGGGTGACTTGTTCCTAGGCTCAGAAACTTGGAATTATTTAGCAATTCTTGCCCCTAAGTGTATGGGCTCTGAGCCTTGGTTCCAGCAGGGGGTTCCCTTAGGGCCTCTGTGCTAGATATGAAAGGCCAAATGTTCATACCCACAGTCAGAAAGACTCATCATAACCAGTTCTCACCAAGCACAACATCAAAAACCATATTGTCTGGCCATGCATAGCAGTTTCCCAGTCCCTCTCCCCATCAAGCCCACTATTACCTGTCTGCTCTGTGGCCATGGCTGTAGTGAAAAGACATATATTATAATGAGAATCATATGGAACCAGAGAGATTGATCTGTTTGACCCCTGGCACTGGGTCATGCTTGGCAGGGGCAAACTTTGTTTAGGAATGTGTGGAAGTTTGAAGTGAAATTGTAGGATTGATAGACCTATCCTTAGCATTTCATCAAATCTGTGTTTTGTGTGATATTGCAAACCCATGTGGTCCTACAAGGCTCAAGTCACACCTTAGCAACCTAGCAAAAACAATTTCTGAGTACCCTGTTTGCAGGGTTGAAGTCCCCTTCTCCACCCCTACCAAAACCTAGCTGCTTTTCCTACTATGTCCTATTATGGGGATAGCCCAGAGTTCCATGTTCCATGCACATGACTCAAACTTTATGCCACCCAGCACAGAACTATTTGGATCTCAGTGGTAATACCAGGCCCAGAAATCCCCTAGCTGATCCTACTCCTAAAGCCCAGATAATGAAGCAGAGTCAAGGGCACCAATGGAACATGTTATTCCTTCTGCCTAAAATGGTCTACACCCATGTTCTCACTTTCAACATGCAGGCTCCTTCTTATCCTTCAGGTCTTACCTTGAAAGTCAGACCCCTTCAGAAAGGTCTTACATGACCACCCCGTATATATTCTTCAGCCCCATTCCCTTCCTATGCTTTCATGCAGCATCATGTTCTTTCCTCTCATGTTGCTTATCACAGTTTATAAACGTTTGCTTGTTCATTATTCTTCCCCATCACTCATTCAAACAATAAGAGCTGAGTGAGTACTTATTATACACCAGGAGACACAGCTTTCAACATATTAAGGCATCTCTATTAAAGATACTTTTATTCTGGCTGAGAAGAGATAGAAAACAAGCACATAAGAAAATACCAGGTATTGAAAAGTACTTGTTTGAAAATAAACTAGATGATATGATGGAAAATGAGTGGGCTCCTTTATATTGCACAGTTAGTGAAGGCTTCCTTGATAAATTGACATTTAAGATGAGAAATGAAAGACAAGAAAGAGTTAACAAAGTGAAGATCTGAGAAAACAGCATTCCTTGCAAAGGGAACAACAGGTGCACAGACTCTATTAAGTCTACTAAGTTTCAAGAAAGTAGGCACTATGGTGTGGGGTTTTTTTTGTTTGTTGTTTATGGTTATTTTGTTACCACTATATAACTAGTTACCCAGCATAGTGCCTGGGGATACTGGATGCTCAGTAAATATTTACTGAATGAACGAGAAATGACTCAATACCACTTAAAGAGATTGGTCACAGATCTTGCTGTCTCAGCACAGATATAATCTGAGGCTACAGTTCACATACAAGATAGGAAGTCTGGGGTAAGAAACACTTTCCAGCTGGACTAGGAAAACAAATGCATCAATCCAGCATATTACTATACTGGAAATGCTCCTAAATAGATGCCTGGGTAACTAATTTTAAGTTACACAAGGTAGGAGAGATCTGTCCACCGGACAAACTTAGATATTTGTTTTGAATAAGGCAACTGGGTCAGGAGGAGCACCCAAGTCAGCTATCCATTTTTCCCAACCTATCCATGTCCTTTTCAGCTATAGAGAATCATGGAGAGGAAAGGGGTGGATTTCTTCTGGGTCCTCATTTGAATGGTGAGTTAATGCTGTTTCGAAGAATGTGCTCTTTTTCTATTATCTCTTTTTAAAAAGGAGTCTAAGTATAGAAACTGTTCTGGCCTCAAGCTGCAAATATCATTCTGTGTCCACTAAAGGTTCCAAATCTGGAGCCATGATTTTTCTGGAGGACTTAATGCCAAATGCTGATTCTAACCAAAAATACTTTTAAAAATAAAAAATAAAACCAGAGAACATGAACTCTGCCAAGAAAGAATTTTAGAAAAATTTTTGAAAAGTAAGGCTTTTTCCATTTTATATGGAGCCATGGTATGTAGTTTGGATGAACTCATCTCAATCAGCTCAGTACTTCTCAAGAGGCCCTGACAATGGGCTGGGCTGTCAGGATTGCTACCACTTCCAGGAATAAGTTTGTATCACTTCCAGAGGGTGAAATGCCAGGAGGAATATAAGCATGGCCTTTTAATGCAACAAATCTTTCTAAATTCATGAGAGGATAAGTGAAGACTCCGTAATCTCTTTATCCCCCAGGAAAGATCCTTTCAGCTCCTCAGAATTAGCTGAGTAAGAGGAGTAAGAGTAAAACCTTGGGTCCCTCTGAGAGGAGAGGCCATTTTCTCATTGATCGCACTAGGATAGCTCTCAGTCAAGAGTATAATGTTTTGGAACATATCCTCAGGAAACCAGAGACTTGTGTTCAGGATTGTAAAAATAAATCCACACTTCTTATATCTACTTGTCCATCCAAACTAAATGCAAATACTAGGGCTTTTTAGAAAGCAAAGCGTGAACAAGATGATTATGACGTGGGTGAGGAAAGCAGGGAAGGAATTTTGATGGCTGACTGCCCAGGTAACACACTTGAAGGGCAGTACCTCAAAGGAAGAAGTCAACATTTAACTGACATCCATGCAAATGCCACACATGTTTGTCACAGAGGAGGTTTTCTATCAACTTACCTACGGGCAGGAACAAAGGAAAAGTGAGCAGGTGCATTTGGAGAGAAATTCCGGGGACTATCCAAAGGACTGTTACCTGTGGGTGGGAAAAGGAAAAGAAAGCCTATACGAGGTCTGTTTCTGAGGACTGTGACAACCTTTAGGGAAGAAATCTCCCCCTAGTATCGGCAATTAGCACTCATATAGTTATGTTTTCAGGCTTACCATTAGTTTAATGATTCTCTCTTTGTAAAAGTCTGGTAGTCCAGAGGTTTCTTCCTTGTTCCCAAGTTGCCTGTAACCATCTATGTCTCTCAGGCATCCATTCTAGTTCCAGCGGCAACTTGTCAATTTCCTGCCCTCCTAGGAACACCTCAGGCTCCAATCTGCTTAGTCAAGTTACCCCAACTTTCCAAAAGCTTAAAGAACTCATTTGGTGCAGATGGCATGGACAAATGCTCAAACATTTCTCAAAGGGCAACAGGACTCCTGGTCTAAAAGTCTCTTGCACATATATCTCCGCACACTGCATCCAAAGCTAACCCAGAAAAATGCATGCTTAAGAGAAACTTAAGTTCTTTGGTGAGGACTTAGGATAGCAACATTCCTTAAAAAAGACCATACACAAGGGCCAAGTCTGTAAAGCATGCCCAACTTCCTCACAGTATAGGAATTAACTCCATTTTCCCTTATTAGTTTTCACATGTCCCCTGTAACTTGCTAACCTACAGACAGAAGGTTTGAACAAAACTATGGTTACCTTTGCACTAGTTACAACAGTTCTTGGACCTAAGACTGCCATACTTCTCTGGTCTAACTCCCACCTGGGGGATTGTATTCAGAAGCTCCTAGATGGCAGAAGCTGTCAATGTGTCTCTATACAAAGGGCCATGTCAAACCAAGTACCATACTCCATTATGTGCTGACTACTCTGCCAATCTCTGTCTGCCTCCCACTTCTGTACTCACTTCCCCACACAGCACCTCTGCGACGATTATGTAAAGCCACTCTCAGGACACCTGGCTGGCTTAGTAAGTGGAGCAATGTGACTCTTGATCTCAGGGTTGTGAATTAGGGCCCCACATTGGGTGTAGAGATTACTTAAAATATTTAGATGGCACAAAAACAGACACTCAGATCAATGGAACAGAATAGAGCACCCAGAAATGGACCCACAAATGTATGGCCAACTAATCTTTGACAAAGCAGGGAAGAATATCCAATGGAATAAAGATGGTCTCTTCAGCACATGGTGCTGGGAAAACTGGACAGCAACATGCAGAAAAATGAATCTGGACCACTTTCTTACACCATACACAAAAATAAACTCAAAATGGATGAAAGACCTAATTTTAAGACAGGAAGCCATCAGAATCCTCAAGGAGAAAGGCAAAAACCTCTTTGATCTTGGCCGCAGCAACTTCTTACTCAACACATCTCCGGAGGCAAGGGAAACAAAAGTAAAAATGAACTACTGGGGCCTCCTCAAAATAAAAAGCTTCTGCACAATGAAGGAAACACTCAGCAAAACTAAAAGGCAACCAACAGAATGGGAGAAGATATTTGCAAACAACATATCAAATAAAGGGTTAGTATCCAAAATCTATAAAGAACTTATCAAACTCAACACCCAAAAACAAATAATCCAGTGAAGAAATGGGCAAAAGACATGAATAGACACTTCTCCAAAGAAGACATCCAGATGGCCAACTGACACATGAAAAAATGCTCAACATCACTCATCATCAGTGAAATACAAATCAAAACCACCATGAGATACCACCTCACACCTGTCAGAATGGCTAACATTAACAACTCAGGCAACAACAGATGTTGGTGAGGATGTGGATAGAGAGGATCTCTTTTGCACTGCTGGTGGGAATGCAAATTGGTGCAGCCACTCTGGAAATCAGTATGAAGTTTCCTCAAAAAATTAAAAATAGAACTGCCCTACAACCTGAAAGGGCGGGCCCACGCAGGCCAACTCCATCTTGTTCTGTGTCCTTCACCTTGACCACACCTCCTCCCCTTGAGTAACCCCCCCCCCCCCACCTGCCTAACAGGACTCGGACCCTTCCCCAGCCAATCGGCTGAGGCCACAGCCATTACCTCGCCAACTGCCCCTAGGCCCCAATAAAACCTTTGTCCTCTTGAAACTCGCTCTCTCTCCCTGGTATCTCACAGCTGCCTAGGTGCAGGCAGGGGATTGAGCTCGAGCTAGCTCGAATAAAGGCTCTTTTGCTTTTACATCAGACTCGGCTCCCTAGTGGTCTTTGGGGATCACGAATTCTAGGCGTAACAAACCCAGCAATTGCACTACTAGGTATTTATCCAAGGGATACAGGTATGCTGTTTCAAAGGGGGACATGCACCCCCATGTTTATAGCAGCACTGTCAACAATAGCCAAAGTATGGAAAGAGCCCAAATGTCCATCAATGGATGAATGGATAAAGACTCCATTCTTAGTTTATTTAAAGACTCTATTAAGGAAAACATCAATCTCCGATATCTTACTGATAAATTCTACCAGTTAAGGAAATCTTTCTCAATTGACTGAGCCACCCAGGTACCCCCATTCTTTTTTTTTTTTTTTAAGTTTATTTATTTTGAAAGAGAGAGAGAGTGTGTTAGGATGTCCTTAGAACCACAGTAGAGGTCCCAAGTAGAGGACGGCCATCTTGCCAGTGCAACCCAACTAAAAGCCCCTAGTAGCGTGCCAGAACGAATTGGAGGTCAACCAATCACCAAGCGACAGCACGACCAGACGAGAAAAAGGCCCACCCGGACTTAAACCTGGAACCGCAGCAGCTTAAAAACCCCACCCCACCACACCTGGGCACAACTTCCCTGACTCCTCTCTCTCTCTCCCTGAGTCACGGAACCTCGCCTGAGACCTTCGTTCCCAAATAAAGCCTTTGCTAAAATTTTTTAGCCTCTGACTCCTATCTTTACCCTGCCTTACGCCTGATCCTAACAGAGAGCATACGCACACAAGTGGGGGAGAGGTAGAGAGAAAGGGAGACAGAGAATCCCAAGTAGGCTCTGAGCCACCAGCACAGAGCCCAACACAGGGCTTGAACCCAGTGTGAGATCATGGCCTGAGCTGAGATCAAGAGTCAGATGCTTAACTGACTGAGCCACCCAGGCACCCCTATATGCATACATTCCTAATGAAACTTCAGAAAATCAAATCCAACAATTATGAAAAGGGTAATACATTATGACCAAGTATATTTATTCCAGGAATACAAGTTAGTTAAAATAAGGAAAAATCAATATAACCCACCATTATAATAGGCTGACAAAAACTATATGATCATCCCAATAGACACAGAAAAAGCACTTGATAAAAATCCAACAACCATTTTTTAACATTTATGTATATATGTATATATGCATAACCAGTGAGATCAGAAAGGAAATAAAATAATATTTATTCATAGACAACGTGATTGTCTAGAAAATCTGACAGAATCTATAATAAAATTACTTATATGAATTTAGCAAGGCTACAGGATACAAGGACAATATACAAAAATCTATTATATTTCTATTTGCTAGCTATAGCTAGCTATTTTTATAGCTATACTTTATGTAATCACGAAGTGAAAATAAAAACACTAGCATTTATTGCATAAAAACATGAATACTTAGGGATAAATGTGTCAAAAGGTGTATAAGAGCTATATAAAACACCGTTAAGAGAAAGGCATTAAGAGGTACAAACTTCCAGTTATAAATAAGTTATGGAGATGAAAAGTATAGCACAGGGAATATCATCAATACTATAATAACGCTGTTTGGTGACAGATGGTGGCTTCAGTTATGGTGAGCGTTAATGTACAGAATTGTTGAGTCACTATGTTTTAAACCTGAAACTAATAAAACATTAATGCAACTATACTTCAATAATAAATTTAAAAAATAAATTTAAAATATTTTTTAAAATGGTAAGAGAAATTAATAATGGCCTACATAAATGGAGAAATATACCATGTGTAAAAACATTCAATATTGTTAAGAAGTCAGTTCTCTTCCCTAATTGATCTACAGGTTCAGAACAACCCAATCAAAACCCCAGCTGCCTTTTTTTTTTAATAGACTATTTTTTAGAGCCATTTTAGGTTCATAGTAAAATTGAGCAAAAGGCACAGGATTTTCCTAATGCCCCCTGCCCTCACTCATGCACCACCTTTTTCTATCAACTACCTTTTGGGTAAGCTGATTTTAAAATTCATAATGGAGGGGCACCTGGGTTGCTCATTTGGTTGAGAGGCCGACACTTGATTTTGGTCCAATCATGATCCCAGCTCCAATCAAGATCCCAGGGTCATGGGATCAAGCCCTGCATCAGGCTCTGTGCTGAGCATGGAACCTGCTTAAGATTCCTCTCTCTTTCTCTCTCTCTGCCCCTCCCCCAATGTGTGCACATGCTCCCTCTCTCAAAAATAAATTAAAATAAATTAAAAATAAAATTCATATGAAGGGGCGCCTGGGTGGCTCAGTCAGTTGATTGGCAGGTCAGCTCAGGTCAGGATCTCGCAGTTTGTGAGTTCGAGCCCCGCGTCGGGCTCTGTGCTGCCAGCTCAGAGCCTGGAACCTGCTTCCGATTCTGTGTCTCCCTCTCTCTCTGCCCCTCCCTTGTTCATGCTCTGTCTCTCTCTGTCTCAAAAATAAATAAACATTAAAAAAAATTTTTTTTAAAGAAATGGAATTATACAAGTAAGTGACATCTTATGTTCTACTTTGTCTATCTTTAAAACTTTGTATGAGGGGCGCCTGGGTGGCTCAGTCGGTTAAGCGTCCGACTTCGGCTCAGGTCATGATCTCACGGTCCGTGAGTTCGAGCCCCGCGTCGGGCTCTGTGCTGACTGCTCAGAGCCCGGAGCCTGTTTCAGATTCTGTCTCCCTCTCTCTCTGACCCTCCCCCGTTCATGCTCTGTCTCTCTCGGTCTCAAAAATAAATAAATGTTAAAAAAAAAATTTTAATAAAAAAAAAAAACTTTATATGAAAAAAATGCCAAACTTTTTATAAAACGGTTCTACCAATTTATATTTCCACCAGTAGTGTTGTAGGATTACCATTGTTTCATATA